TATCCTGGAAATGTAGGCTGTAGTTCTTTTTGTTCTTTCCCAATGGAATAGCAGTGATGTTGTTGAAGACACAAGTAATGTTGTGTCTATAGTCAGTCACACACATCCATGACGGTACATCAGCTAGAAAAAGAAAAAGTAGAAGAAAAGAAATATTCAATTATTATTTCACAGTTTCTGGTATTGATTACTTCAATGCTATACTTATGTATGACAAGGTAACAAATAGTAAGTTATGGAATAGTTTAATAATGATTCAGATCTTTTATTTAAGGAAAAGAGAACATTAGAATTAATATAGACATATAACAGTGTGTAAGTGGGCAGGTTTTAGCTGGTAGAGGTGCAGCTATATAAGGTTGAGGATAATCTGAGGAGCTGCGAAACAAATGAAAAAAAAAATTGAAAAGAATTTTATTTTGTTTGACACACTGGATACTCCTATGTTTTTGTGCCTTATACAATTAACCATGTAATCATCTAATCACTGACTCTGGGTGCTCTGTGGTCTCAGTTCTATTGGATTTGACTTCAGCCTTTGACACGGTTGACCATGATATCCTTTTGGCAAGGTTGGAAATGTTCTATCATGGTTTAAATCATATTTCTCTGAGAGGTCGTTCTCTGTCATGATGGGAAAATATTCCTCTTCTTCTGCCCTTTTTCGCCGTGGTGTGCCCCAGGGCTCGGTATTGGGTCCTGTGTTGTTTTCTCTGTACATGCTGCCCTTGGGCTCCATTTTTGAAAAACATAATGTCTCTTTTCACTGCTATGCTGATGACATTCAAATCTACCTCCACCTGACTGGGGATGTTTCATCTTCACTACATCCTCTGTTTGATTGTCTGAGGGATGTCAAAGACTGGTTATCACGTAACTTTCTTACTTTAAATGAAAAGAAGACAGAAATGATCGTTTTTGATAGAAATATGCCTCTGGGACAACTGACTGGCACACTCGGGCTTGTTGCTAATCACCTCACTGATGCTGCTGGGAATCTTGGAGTTTTCATGGATAGTTCCTTCAAACTAGATAAACAGGTTTCTACTGTGGTAAAAAACCAGCTTTCACCAACTACGCCTAATTTCTAAGGCTAAACCTGACATACCACGCAAAGATCTGGCGAAACTCATTCATGCTTTCATCACTTCAAGACTGGATTATTGTAATTCTCTCTTTGCCTCCAATCTTCTCTTCTTCAGCGATTGCAGCTGGTCTAAAATGCCGCAGCACGTCTCTTGACCGGCACTAGAAAGTCTGATTCTATCACCCCTGTTCTGGCCAACTTACATTGGCTTCCTATTAAATACCGAATTGATTTTAAAATGTTATTGTTTACTTATAAAATCCTAAACAATATGGCGCCTGACTACCTAGCTGATCATCGGGCCAACTGCTCTTAGTGCAACCTCGGCTGAAGACCAGAAGAGGCCGTGCCTTTGCTGTTGCTGCAACCAGCTTATGGAATACTCTTCCTCTTCATATTCGTGCATCAGATTCCATTCAGTCTTTTAAATCACATCTAAAAACGTATTTGTTTAACCTGGCATTCAAAGCTAATTAGGGTAATTTACATCTGGCTTTGCATTTAGATTATGTAATTATTTTATATTTTATTGATATCTGTAATTTATATTTTATATTGTGATTTTTTTATCTGTATCATGATTTTACTGGAAAGCACTTTGGTGTACTTCGGTCTTTAAAATGTGCTATATAAATAAATTTTGATTGATTGAATTTTGATAATCACCAGTTTAGAGGGTAAATCTCTTTTGCTAGCAGCTCAGTCATCCCATGTGCACACTCCCTTAAAAGGTTCAATCCTTAAGAAGGCACTCTATTTATTTTTTATTTAAAACCTTGATTGGTAAATAACCAGCATATCCAGCTGTCAAATATGTAGCAGAGTAAAAAAGTACATCATTTCTCCACAGTAATAGAAATAACAATCAATTTTACTTGATAAACATCAAGCTACTTTCCATATCTAATAATCAAAATATTAATCAAAGCTCAAAAACAACAACATGTGATATGATGATAGATCACATGTGTGACTATTTGACATTTAAACATATCCTCTGAACCTCCTACTGTTACTGACAACTGGAATGTATGACATTGAAAGCTATGCAATTAATCATAGTAGGAAGAAAAGGATGATATGATACAGCCACAAGATGAGATAAACCATAAGCTGCCTTACTAATGACTTCCCATAGCTAAGTGAAAAACATCTCCATACAAAAGAGCAATACCTTCGATCCCGCTGGTCACTGCAAGGATGCCGTAGCACCAAAGCCCAAACAGGAGCTGCCAGCACTTCATGTCTTTTT